CCTGGAACTTCGTACATATGCAAATAATTTTTGTTTAATGAAGGAGCCATAGACTGGCCTGATGCAAATGAGCCAGAAAAACAGATCTTTCTGCTACTGCTAATAATACTCTCTGTCACAGGGCAGAGACTGTAGCCCTCACAGTTTTCCCATCTGTAAAATGGGGTACTCCACGGGAAGGGTGATGATTTATCTTTGTATCATTTCTAGGATAGTGACTTCACAACAAAGGATTTTATGGTATTATTTTTTTTGAGGTTGAGGTTGCCAAAATATACTATTTCATTTCCTAAAATTTTAGAAGTCAAGGTATCTGACCTTTTTGATGTTCAAACACTTAGCTCAGGCCTGATTGAATTACTGTTCATCTGGACTTTCCAGTAAATCTCACTTTTTAGAAAGGAGTTTGTAAGCAGGGAAATGTTTCAAATCCTTGACAACCCTTCTGAAATCAACTTAGATGAAGCCTGGCTTGAAAACAGGTCACATATCACAATTTTATCTTCTGCAAGAGAAGTTTAAATTTGAACAAATGTATTCTCTCTTCAAATTCTCTCTATTCTTAAAGTAGGTTGTTGATATGCAATTTTACTAGATTCCGTAGCTCCAGGCATTTCATTAGACATAGCTGCATTTTATGTGGGCAGTGGGAAATTTAGGAAAACTATTGAATGTTAAACCATTAGTTTCCATGACGTTGTTCTTTGTGCCTTTGGTAAAGATTTGTAGCACGTAGAGTTTTGCAATCCCATTTGTTAGGTGTGGAAATATTCTAGCGTTTATTAAAATAATATCTATGTAATCTCAAAATATTCCCATTTACTTAAAATTGTAATGTTATGGACAGTTTTAAGCATATTTCACAGTGAACAAAGTAATGAACCTCCATCTGCCAGCCACAAACCTAAAGGATTATCAACTCATGGCCAATTCTGCTTTACCCACTTTCCTACTACCCTCAACATTAGACTCAGCTGAAGTAATTCTCAGACACTGTGTCATTTAACTGGCAAGTATTTTAGTATAATTCTCCAAGATATAAGGACTTAGAAAACACAACCACAGTAGCTTTAACACACATGATTTCTATCAACATAATTCCTTCATTTCATCAAATGTCCAGATTTTACATTAGTTAACTCGTAAATTTTATACTTAATTAAGGATCTACATAATGCTCATATATTTAACTGACTTCTCTATCTCTGAGATCTCTTTGAATCTGTAGGCTACCTGCCTTCTATATTTTACCCTTGCATTTGAAGAGATCGGGCCATTTGTCCTCTATGGTTTCCCATGTGCTGGATTTTGCAGAAAGCATCCTCATGGTTTGTTGCATCATGTTCCTCTGTCCTCGGTCCCTATTATCTAGTAGTTAGCTCAGGAAACTTCATTCTATTCAGCTTTTCTCTCTTCCTTCCCTCCATCCTCACCCTTCTTTCTTTCTTGGCAAGAACACTGATAAGCATCTTGTGTGTGTCTCTTGTTGCAACGTTAGCAGTCACTGATACTCCTGCCTTGATTCCGTACTTATGGAGAGCGGCAGAATGGAGCTGCTCTAATTCTGCCTTCCATTCCTTAGTTACTTGTAGTGGGACTGTCCCAAGTGACCTGTGTCATGGCTTAGGGAGGATGGGCATCTTTAGACATCAAGCCCTTCTGTCTAATGCGTGACTTTCAGGAGCCCTCTCCACTACACAGTCCCTCACTTAGGCCATGTACTTCATTTTGACCAAGTCAGTCCATCTTCACTCCCACCATGCCTCTGACATGCTGTTTTTAAACTCTATAGGAGTTACTGGTTTTCCACTCTCAAGCCACAACTAGCTTCCCTCTCAAGTCCTCTTGTTGTTCGCCATGACATCTCATCACTCTTCTCGATTTTCCAAATACATCATCACATCTGGATCTAGAAATATTTTTACCTCTCTCTCCCACTTTCTAATGCCTCCAATTGCTTTCTCCTTTCTGGCATCACGGGCACTGTGATGTGTAAGGGATACCCGTGTCTTGTTCACTTTCTGCTTCTTGAGCACTACAAACTTGGAATTCACTGCCTGCCTGATGCCGGAGGGACAGCTGGAGAGGCTTCTCCCTCCATGCATTAGGAGATATTTTTACAGAGCTAGAGATAAACTTTATGTGATGAAGGCAATAGGGTTCATACAATGCAGGTATTACATAACAGAGAGTAAGCTGGTAATAATGTAATTATTTAAATAATGAGGTTGGTAGATTCAGAGCCTTCCAAATTATAGTTTGGGACTCCAGTTACTTAGGATGACCCCCCTTCTACTGAACCATCCAACTACTGCTGATATATATACATATATATACATATATCTTACTCTAAATATGATCTTTTTATAATATATAAAATAGTTCTAAATAGAAACGAATCATTAAAACAGGATTAGCAATTCCTATTAGCTGAAATAAATTCTCATCTAAAGAACCACAGAGGCCCATCTAATCTTTTAGAGCTACTTGGGGAGACTGAGGTTGGAGATGCTGAGGTTTTGAAGTGCTTCTTAGCATCTCCTCAAACTGTCCCTGTTCTAAACATTTGTCAGGCTTCCTATGGAGGGACAGTTGAAATACATATGTTTATCCCTGAGCAAGGAAATCACCAGGAGATCCACTATGAAGATGTTTTCTTATGAATTCATTCTTGAGATTTCAATTAAAACTGTATTTGTTAAGCTTCTATTATATACAAAATACTGTACCAGACACAATTCAACACTGCAGGAGTTGATATTCTAGCAAATAGCTGAGAGATGGGTCAAAAAGCTCAAAACACAATAAAATGAATAGTTATAAAGGCGCTAATATTCTTCTGGGTTTGATTCAGAACACAGTATTGATTGGTTAAACATTTTGTTGGAAGTTTGCAATGGAATATAAAATGAAAAAGTTCACATTCTATTAGCGACTCAAGAATCTAGAATGCAACACTCAAACCGAAGCCTTTGTGATAAGTTCACATTCAAATTTAGAAATTTGCTAAATCCACTGTAAGCTAAGATTTGAATTCATCACAAAGAAAATAATCTTATTCTTCTAAATGGCTCCCAGTTACTATTGTATACAACAGCCAAACCTAAGAAAAAGGTACGGTTTTTTTTTTAAATAAATTTTTTTCATAACTTAAACCTAAGAATTGTTCTTTAGATTTTACCCAGAAGTGTCTAAAACTAACTTTTGGTATTTAATAGAGACTCAATCTTTAGATTTGAAAACATGCCATTCCTTGTTCTATGAAAATCTCAGCCTGTGAATATATTCTAAAATATATAGTAAAAATATTTAGCAGAAAGAAAGAAGGAGGGCTATAGGTAATTGTAGTAAAAGAAGAAAGTTTTAATAAGAAAAGAACACACAGGTTTTGTCCATCCCAGTCATCAGCACAGGCTGGACGCATGGGTGTGTGGGGTGTGGAACAGGCGCTGGGAGCTTGGCATTGGAGAGGCCACACCTGTGGTTTCTGCATGTCGCTCACCAGGAGATGGAGAAACCGGGGAGTCTCATTAGGAACAGGCGAGCCTGCGTGTTTTTAAGGCAAACATGTCAGGAATCAATACTGCTGGCCAGACAACCTTCAAGTTCTCGTGTTGAGAGTTGCATCTCGGTCAAGGCCCGCAGACCTCACGTCTGTTGTACCATTCTCCCAGTCACTCTTCTCTCTACCCTCTGCCTCTGTGCACCCCTAGTTTTCTTAGAGTATGTGATGAATAAATAAAACCACAGTCCTCCTTTTCCCACACTCACCCACGGATAAAGAAATCTGAAAGGAGGAGAAATCTGTGGTTCCCCTCGACTGATTTCATACCAGACTTTTTAAAAAGTTTTGTAAAGAACATGATTCATGGTGACTCACCCTGGATGAGGTGAGTCAACATGATTTAGGATCTACTCACAAGATGCTGCACCACTTTTTAAGAAAAAAAAAAAAAAGGGCTGAATTTTAAAAGGTTTTTGAGTGTCCTCATTTACAACGGTGGTGGTGGCTCTCCACTACTTCTCACACGTGGACGGGAGCCAGAAAATGCCACCGGAACCCTTAGGACAGGCATCTTGTTAAGTCCCACAGCTCTGCAAGTCTCTCGGTGTCCCGATTTTACACACTAGGAAACCCAGGCTTATTACAGACGTTTGCTCTTGACCAAGACAGCTCTGCTCGTGAAAGTCACAGAACTGGGTTTCAAACTCCCATCTGGTGTCATTCACCATGACGCTATGTCCCTTAAAAAAGCAAAACCGAACAAGTGATGTCATTAAGAGCGTTCCTAACCACGGCACGGCTGGGAGTCTTCCCATGCAGTAACCCGGCCTGGTTTTCTCTCTTCCCCTCTGTACCTCTGCATAGGCTCGCCTCCCCTTCTCTGCTGGCTGGGGCAAGTTCTATTTCTACTCTCTTCTTTAACGCTTAGTTTTTAGACACACTTACTTCGATTAAATGGATTCATACATTACTATGGAGATCCTTAAAAAAAGAACTAGCATTTTTCAGAGTGTCCTAAACTATAAATGGATTAAAAATAATCAGGGCCTCTTGAATCTATTTTTATGAGTTTTTGATAGTCGTTTGTATGAATGTGTATGAATAAAGACAATTCCTACAAATAACAGTATTTAGCATAATGGAGTGTTTCTGTTCTGATTTTTGGCCAAGGTTTCTAAAGACCTTTGCCCTGATTTCACACAGTGATGCCCTCCATCTCTCTAACCTGGTTGAAATAGTATCCTCTATCTTTAAAAACAAGTGCTTCTGTTTAAAAAAAAAAAAATGATTATGCCAGTTGTTTGCAGACCACATAATAAAGATGAATATGTCCATGAACCAGGGTTATAAATTTTAAAACAGGATAGCAAAATACTTAATTTAATTCTGTATTTGCAAGTAATTATGCAAACAGTCCCTATTGAGTTAAAGAATTCACTTACTAGTTGGAAAAAACACATGAGAGTTTATAAAGTTTCAAAAGAAACCCACTTACTTGTTCAAATTCATTCTTTTGAAATTCCTCAAAACCGAAGATGTCCAGTATTCCAATATCCAAAGTCTGTGGGCTGAAAGTAAACAAAGAATCAGTAAGCAAGCACACTTAGACCTGCAAAAATTATGTTATGATCTTCCTAAAGAAATTCTTATAAATACAGGAGAATGAAGAACATGATACTTGGGTGTCAACTTGGAAGCAAGCAATGGGAGTACCTCATGATACCCCTGCTTTCGATGTAAACTCTCTCTCCTGCCCTCTGCAGCCGTCTTGGGAGGTCCGGCCACAGACATGGAACCTCGGAGTGAGTGAGGAAAGGGGGCAGAAAACCCGGAGGGTGGCGGGAGCCCCGACAGCCTGGATTCTGCGGGGAATGGGGGCAGCACACACGGGGAAAGGGTGTGAGGAGGCTTCTTACAAAGAAAGCCCCAGATGATTCTGGAACGCTGGTCCCCTGGTAGGCACACACCCAGCCCTCCCACATTGCGGCTCTAGAGCTGCAGCAGGACCTGACTCCTGCCCTGATTTTCTGCCGGTGGGGGTGACGGTCTGTCATCATTAGGGATTGTTTCAATACCACTGTCCTGGCTGATGCAGACACTTTCGTGGTTTGCTCCCCACTCGTTTGGTCCAAACTGCGCAACTGACACCCAACTCTCTTTTTGTACCTGTATTTGGTGCTCCCTAGCAGTACGTTACCATAATATTTTAGGGTCTGTAATATGTCACTCAAATGACCAGTTTCTTTTTAAAAAGGTAATGATTCTATGATATCCTTTCTCTAAGATTACTTCTTGTAGATGGTACAAATAGCAGCTTCCTAAGCAGGAAGGAGAGCATTTTATATATAGATTTCATATACATTTCACATGGCAGAAAATACAAAGCAGCAGAGTCATCGAGTGGGTGCCACTAGGTAACTGATTTAATTTTTTAGAAGAAAAAATAGTGAGCTTTGTACCTTCCCCTGTATGCCCAAATAAACTCGATATGGATTAGAGAGATAAAATGTTATAGCAAGAAACTATAAAAATGCACAAGAAAACATATGTGATCATTTTTTCTGCTTTCAGTTCTGAGAGAAATCAAAAGAAAATGTTTCAAAGTATGATGACACAAATACCAAGTTCTTTGCGGGATAAGTTATATAAATAAAACAAAACAATGAGAAGTGAGTATTATTTTAAGATGGAGCGCTGGGTGTTATACAAAAACAATGGATCGTGGATCACCACATCAAAAACTAATAACGTATTGTATGGTGACTAACATAACATAATAAAATTAAAAAAAATAAAATGTGTTTTCTCATTCAGTTTCATAGATGTTTTCCAATCTGTTGGTCCACGTGTGCCTCCTTCCACCCTGGTGACTTCACAATGTGCACAAGGAGATGCCTGGATGATGCTCATCACTCAGTGGTGATGGTGCTGAGGTGTAACACGAGACGTTGTTTTGTTTAGGGTGTGTGTGTGTGTGTGTGTTTTCCATGTAATGAGCTGCATTGTTTCTTTTGTAGGAGCTTGGTGACAAAGCTTGTCAGGTTTTGGAGTTGCTCAGTCTCAGGCAGGAATCCTGGTTCAGACACTTTTTAGGTGGACAACTTTGGGCAACTTACTTCAATTTTCTGCATTGCAGTTTCATCATGTATAAAACTGAGACAGCAAGTAATATTTGTCCAGCTGGATGGCTATTACAATTAGAAGCGATGTAAATACGGTGCTAGGACAATCGCTGGTAGACAGTTGCTTGTCTTTCTCCTAAAGATTTTAATTAATTAATTAATTTATTTATTTATTTTAGAGGAGGGGAGGGGACTCCATCCCACGACCCTGAGATCATGAGCTGAGCCGAAATGAAAAGTCGGACGCTCAACTGACTGAGCCAGCCAGGCGCCCCTGCAAATTGCTTGGGCAGATTATAAATGTCAATCTGATTACAGATACTAAACAAATAAAATTTTAAAAATTACGATGAGAAAGATATTCCTATACACTTTTTTTGGGAGTTTAAACTGGTAGATTCTTGGGGCGCCTGGCTGGCTCAGTCAGTAGAGCATGAGACTCTTAATCTCAGGTCATGAGTTCGAGCCCCATGTTGGGGGTAGAGTTTACTTAATTAAAAAATAAATAAATAAATAAATAAATAAATAAAACTGGTAGAGTCTTCTTAAAAAACAATTTGGTTATGCAGCATAAAGCTTTGAAAAGTTCGTATCATTTGAACCAGTATTTCCATATACAGGAACCTATACTAAAATGATTATCAGAAATGCAATTAAAGATTTACAAACAAGGATGTTCATCCTTATCTTAATTATAGTAACAACAAAAAGAAATAGCAGATATCCCACACTAAAGACATGATTAATTAAAGAGCATGCATCCTATGATGGATTAATTTAGTGAATCTATCAAGTTAATAGAATGCAATATATAAGTTCTATATAAAGAATAACCCCAATTATATATTCAGAAGACCTCAAAAGAACTATAGTCAGCCCAAGAAGAGGAGACAGAAAGGCTTTTGTTTACTTCTTCTTACTGTTCTGTTTTTTCCTAAGGTTTCTGTATTTTTATAACCAGTTAGTATTTAACTGATCTTGATAAAGACGCTGTGACGGCATGGGAAGTGTTCTTGAACAACAAAAGCTTAAAAAAACTAAGCTGGAAACAAAATTTATACCATTTGTACACTTATGGTAACATAGTATAACTGCACCCCTGTTAAAAAATAAACCCACGACACAGAAAAAAGTAAAGCACATGTCGGCAGGCGATGTCTTGGATGCTAGATCTAGAGGTGATTTCTTAATTTTAAAGTGTTCTATACTGGGTATTAACCTTTGTTTTAAAAAAATATATGAGGGAACACCTTTTGGGCACTTCCTGAGTTGGTGGGGAAAGGGACAATGACCTCAGGGCAGAGAGAGGAACGTGGAGCCCAGCAGGGAGGGCAGAGAAAGGCGTCTGGTTTTCCTGCGACCCACTGAGCAGCAGGGAGCCCGGGGCTGGGGAGAGAGAGCAGGGTTGCGGCTGAAGGCCAGTACAGATGTTTCCTGCCAACTTATACCAGAATCTGCCACTCGGACCTTGACTCCTTGCCTGATTCCCAGCCGACCTGGGCAACAGTGGCCCCATACGTACGGCCCATCATGCTGTGGGAAGTTAGGAAGAAGGGCAAGAGCTGTGGGTGACATCGTGTCACCCTACTGGTGTCCTTCCCCTTCTCGTGAGGATGGTGGCTTCGTGTGGCAAGCAGAGGAAGGATGCCGGGCCCCCAGGCATGTCTGGGCGAGCGCACGTGTTAAATATTCCAGTTCAGACTGGGGAAAGTCGATGACTAATTGGCAATTTAGAATAGCATAAATGTGGTTGAAAGAGCACTCCCTTTTAATGATTTTTCCCCATATTTCACAGATGCTGGATTCCAAACTCTATCTGGTTACAAAATAAAAATGTTTTTAAAGAAAAAGAGGGGAAGAAGAGAAAAACCAATGTCAGGGGGAAAATGAATGCATTTTAAGGATTAATTTTGCAACTATCGACAAATCTAACATGTCCATTTTTTCCCAAAAATCTCTTTCACCATCCAGGACTGAATGAAGTCCGTGTCCATTATTACAACAGCTATGTTGGTGGAAGGGTCATAAGGACTTGCAGCCGGCAGAATGCCCATGCTGTGTGGCACTCAGCATTGCGGTCATTTCTCTTACCGGTATTGTGACTTGCATTACACAAGCATTTAACCCAACATCCAGTTTCTAGCAAGGAGCTGACAGAGGTCATCAGATCCACTAGGATTCAATCCCACAGGCAAAATTAACATATTAATGAGATGGTCTGTTCCTATTTGGCCTAAGAATTCCACTGATGACTTTCCGGATGGTTCACAAAACCGGCTCACTTGCATTTACTTATTAGTAAAATGCAACACCTTTTATATCAGACAAAATATTAAATGCCATGGCAATTGTCTGGTGGTGTTTTTGCCTTCGATGTGTGTTAGAATGGGAAGGGAGGAAGGTCCAAATTAAAGAGAATGTCTATCTTGAAACACGGACATGCTAATTTTATTGGGGCAGAGAGGTCCAGTGGGATGCGCATGTCTGCTTTTGTCCTCGATCATCCCTAGGCAAGGAGATGAATTAGACAGTTGCCTAAACATTTAGTCAGTTCAGGAAATAGTTGAATCCTGCCTGGCACAACGTGTTTAGATTGAGCCAGAGGTGAATCAGCCTCTTTGGCTGATCGCTGACCTGTAGGAGCCCAGGTGGGGTAAGACTGAAATACAAAAGCACAGCAAACTAGAGCAATCCCGCTGTCCAGACACCCTGCCCTCGGGGTCAGATGCACTTTCACGGAGGGTATTGGTGCAAAGTCCCTGAAGATGCTGGCCATGCGATGGCCTCCACCAGGTCTAGCACCAACATGCTGAAGAATTTACTTAACATAATGGGCAAGGTGTCTCATCGTGGAGGCTGATTCTGCCAATGCCGTAGCTTGTCTGAATCTTGCAGGGTTTTCTCGAGGCTGTGAGAAGACACAGAGGGGGCACTCGAGGGTGCATACTTTTGGGAGTTCCTCCCTTTTAGTCTTTGACCGAAGAAAAGTGCGTGAGGCTTATCATTTTTTGCAAACATGTCAGAAATTCGGGAAAGAGTTTGCGGTTGCTGACAATCTGAACTAGAAGCTGGGTGACGGGTGGGGGTGATGTTACCAAAGCAACTGTCCGCCCCCTTCTCACCTAGTGATACCACACACACACCAACGTGGCTCTGAAACGCAGCCCTTCTTCACGCTCCTTCCCACCGGAAAGAGAAGTTAGGAAGTAAAAAGCCGAGACGTCTTGAGGTGAAAATTGCAGTTAATTAGACTGGATATACAAGAAAGACTTGGGGTGAGGGTAAAATTCGGAGCTACCATCTTAGGGAGGAGTGTGTGCCAAGCACCATTAGAACATTTGAAATGCCTTATTTCATTTAGCCTTAACAACTACTTTATGAGGTACGTACAATGATTCCCCACCCCCCATTTTACAGAGGAGAATACTGAGCCAGGACAGTGAAGG